GGCTGCGGGGAGCTGCGGGCCCGGCCCCGGCGCAGGGCAGCAAAGGCGGCCTGGGCTCATGCGGGCACGTGCTCGTGCAACGCAGCTCCACGGTATGACACACACCCGTGCACACAGACGCACACGTGCACATGCACACACGCGCACACACAAACGCTCCCTCCCTCCCAAGCAGCCCCAACATCTTGAAGCAATCAGCGGCTGGAAGGGACTCGTCCCCCGGCATCTCAGGTTAAAGAAGGAGCTCCAGGAAAATGTGGTGGAGCCATTACACGAAACCCGAGCCGCGCTCATCAGGGACCGCAACTGCCATCGCATTAGGATTGATTAGAGACCAGCAGTACCGTAATGACCCGGAAAGACGGGCACCCGGGGATTATTACTACCCAAACTTAAAAAACCCAACACAAATAAATAAACAAACGGTGTCTCTCTCTTTCCAGGACGGCTCATTTTGGTGCTGACTCACCTGAGGAAACGAGCTGCTTGCCGAGCTGCGCCCAGCCCGTCCCCAACGCCCGCGAAAATGTTCCCCATGAAAGCGGATCTTTCCATGCTCATCCCCGCTGCGCCCGGGCGCTGTTGCACACCCGGGTGGACCACAGGCCTGGGCGGGGATTTCCGTGGAACGGATACACGTACATATAGACATGTGGCTATGCATGTGTGTGTGTATTATATAGATACATCTACATAGAGAGCTGATAGATAAATATCGATATCGCCAAATATATAGATATAGATATCTATGTCTACCTACCATCTAGCTAGCTAGCTACCTACCTACCTACCGATATATAATCCGTATACATATATAGCTATATACCTACCTATAATCCGTATGCATATCTATCTATCTATCTATCTATCTATCTATCATCCATGTGCATATATCGATATCTATATCTACCTCCCTACCTACCGATCACCCACCTACCTACAATCCGTGTACATATAAAATGACCGCTGGAACAGCCCGGCGTGGGGTGCAGACAGAGGCCGCACGGAAATCCCGGCCCATGTCGCCGCCTGGCCCGTGCGGGGCTCCCGGGGCCCCGCAGACCTCGGACGCGTGAGGACAGCGGGTCGCTGTGTTTGGGAGTCTGGAAGCC